GCCCCCCCGATCCCCACTCCTGCTCAGCCCACTTCGGGCTCCATCCCACGGCCAGCAGCCTGACCCCACAGCCCACGGAGGAAAATCCCCCCCAGACCTCGAATCCGGCTTTTATTGAGCTTTTTCTTGCCCCCACCCCACAATTGCTCTACAGGTGGGATCGGGGGTTGCCTATGGATAAAGGGCTCAATTGGGGTGCACCCCTCTCTCCTCAACCGAGGGTGAGCTCCCCTCCCTCCTGCTAAACCGGCTTGGGGAGACAACCACATCCTTTCTCCCTGACCCCCTGACTTTTCGTGCCCCTTTTCCTCCCCCTTTCCCCTTTTTCTTACCCCTTTTCCCCTTTTTTTCTCCCTTTCCCCACTTTTTTCCCCATTTTCCTCCTCCTGCTAAGACAGCAGCACAGGGAAAAGCCCCCATCTCTCCTTCTGAGCACCCCCAGAGAGGCAAAGCCCACCCTGGATATAGGATTTTTCCTGTCTGGATATAGGATTTTTCCTGCCTGGATGTAGGATTTCTCCCCTATGTATAGGACTTTTCCCCCTCCTATGAAGGATTTCTCCTTCTGAATATAGGATTTCTCCCCTAGATACAAGTTTTCATCAGCTGCATAGAGGTTTTCACCCCCATGGATATGGTGTTTTTCCACTGGATATAGGATTTCTGCAGCGAATATAGGAAGTGGCCCCCTGTTTATGGGTTTGTGGGTTTTCTTCCCTCAATATAGGATGTCTCCCCTGGATATAGGATTTTTTTCTCCTGAATATATATTTTTCCTAGCTATATACAGGATTTGTCACCTTGGATATAGGTTTCGGCCACCTGTATATAGGATTTTTTCCCTGAATATAGGATTTCTCCTCTGAATTTAGGATTTCTCCCCTGAATATAAGATTTCTCCCCTGGATATAGGAAATGCCCCCACATATATAGATTTCCTCCACCTGTATATGGTATTTCTCCCCTGGATATAGGATTTCCTCTCTTCTAATATAGGATTTGTCTCTTGGATATAGGATTTCTCGCCTGGATATAGGATATGCCCCTCCATGTACAGGTTTTCTCCCCTGACTATAGGATTTCCTTCTCCAGATATAGTATTTCTCCCCTGGATATAGGTTTCTCCCACCTGTATATAGGATTTCTCCCCTAGATATAGGTTATTCTCCCCCACCTCTGCATATATAGGATATCTCTCCTGAATATAGGATTTCTTTCCTAGATATAGGATTTCCTTCCCCTGGCTATAGGATTTCCAGCCCTGGTTATAACATTTCCACCCTGGACATATCATTTCCACCTTGGACATATCATTTCCACCTTGGAACTATCCTCACCTTTCACAATGGTAAAACAACCTGAGCAACTTGGTGGAGCCATGGCACACTCCAATGGGATGAACTTCCTCCCTCCTGAATCTACAGCTTCCAAATAAGCCCCCCAAAACTCCTTTAAGTGCTTGTGGGGCAACACAAAGGCGTCACCCCCACAGCTGCTGGCACTGGATCATCCAATGCCAGCTCATTTCCACCTCATTTCATTTTCCCATGGTTTTCTTTTTTTTCCCCATTGAACTTGGTGCTGAGTCCAACTGCTCTGGTGGGCTGAGGCAGGAGGGGAATGGGTTACAGTGATTTGTCCTTGGTGGGGCTTTTCCTCCCTTCTGGCTTTTCCAGATTTCCTGGTGTTCTCAACCAAAGCCCTGAGGAAGGATGCAGGAGGATGCAACAGGCTATGAGGAAAGGGGAAACTGAGGCATGACCAGCTCATTTTGTGCAGGATGGCTCCCAGCCCCCTGCCAAAAATACCCCCCAGAACCCATCCTCTGCTCCATGGATTTTCCTCTCCCTGCATCATCACCCTGGCTGGACTCTGGCTTCCTGCAGCCGTGTGCTCCAGGGTGGCCATTTCCCCAAGACACCCACAAACGACCCCGATTTTTAACAAAACCCCTCATTTTCAGCAAAGGAACCCAATTTTTTAATGAGTAAACCTAATTTTTAGAGCAGGGGCTCATTTAAGACCTTCTTGAGCAGATTATTTGGGGAGAGGGCTGAGCTGTTTGAGGTCCCAGCTGTAACCCTGCCATTGCCACCATCAGGAGGGAGCCTGCACAAAGCTGGACGAGGACATCCTGGACATCCCTTTGGACGATCCCGATGCCAACGCGGCAGCTGCCAAGATCCAGGCTAGTTTCCGTGGCCATATGACCCGCAAGAAGATCAAAGGGGGCGAGATCGATCGGAAAACCAAGGACGCCGAGTGCGCCAACAGCACCCGCGGCGGCGACCTCCGCAACGGCGACTAGGTACCCCCCAAATCCCGCTCTTCCCCCCAAAACTGGGTCATTTCTGCCAGGATGCTGCTCTGAGTGTCCTTTGCTCTGTTGATTTGAGATGGAGCATCCTTCCCTGCACAGATTTGGGATGGAGCATTCTGCTCTCTGCAGATATGGGATGGAGCAACCATTCCTGTGCAGATTTGGGATGGAGCATCCTTCCCTGTAGAGATTTGGGATGGAGCAACCTTTCCTGTGCAGATTTGGGATGGAGCATCCTTCCCTGTGTAGATTTGGGATGGAGCATTCTGCTCTGTGCAGATATGGGATGGAGCATTCTTCCCCAAGCTGATTTGAGATGGAGCATCCTTCCCTGCACAGATTTGGGATGGAGCATTCTGCTCTGTTCAGATATGGGATGGAGCATTCTTCCCCAAGCTGATTTGGGACGGAGCAACCATTCCTGTGCAGATTTGGGATGGAGCATTCTGCTCTGTGCAGATATGGGATGGAGCAACCATTCCTGTGCAGATTTGGGATGGAGCATCCTTCCCTGTGCATATTTGGGATGGAGCATCCTTCTCTGCAGAGATTTGGGATGGAGCATCCTTCCCTGTGCAGATTTGGGATGGAGCAACCTTCCCCACACTGGTTCAAGGTGGAGAAGGGGTTTTTCCTCCCAGGAGATGGAAACACACAGGCAGGCAGCCCCTGCCTTGCCCTAAATTTGGGTGCGCGCCGTAGTAGTTGGGAAGGATGGGAAGTAGGATGGGAAGGCGCAGCCCTAGATTTGGATTGAATCTCTCCCTTAGCAACACCACCCCGAGCGCCTCGCCTCAGCACATGCTATTTTTAAAAGCCTGTGTCACAGTCTCCTGGCAGGAAAAGGTAAATTTAAAAAGCGCCCACG